GCAGGCGGCGGCTGCACACCAGCACAAGCCTCGACGACCTCCTTTCCGCGCGCATCAAGGCCGCCAAGCCGGAACGAGTCGACGTAACTCTGGCAGACAAAGATATCCGCCCCCTTGACGTGGACGTACTGCATCTTGAGCGTATCACCCTTGACCTGGTAGACATCGCCCACGCCATAGGTACCGCCCGGCGCAATGACCAGCGACCAGTGCAACGGCCCGCCCGCCTGGCGCTGACGAACCAGCCAGAGCGAGGACAGCGAGGCGTCTTCTTCCGCCGGCGGGGTGGGCGCATGGTATTCTTTCCACGGGCCCCAAACCCCGTCGTCGAGTCGACGGCACCAGTCTCTCCCATCGCTCGATGATCGGAACTCCCGTCTTCCCGCCCGGATGGGGGTGGTGAATTGACCCTCGGGATCCGCCATATTCTAACACACTGGTCAGCCGGAGTCTACACGCGGAACAACACGCACAGCCAAGACGCGTACGAATCTCTTTCCAATCCGGCGGGCTGGCAGACTGCGGTTGTGGAGTGGTAGAGATACGATCTATCCCACGTTAGTAACGGCGATATTCGATATCTGCGAAGGCTAGTATTACTCGATAGCCGCGAACGTCAGCAGGTCGCACTTCAGATTAACGAGAATTGGTATCTAGTCGATAGCTGTGCGAGAAAGCTGGTTGTCATGACCTCTGTGTTATGTGTTTTACTAGAGAAAAGAAGTACGATGGTCAGGAAAAGTGTGGTGGGCAGGAGAAACACGGAAGACGGGAGAGACATGGTGATCCCGTGAGCACGGCAAAACATAACGTCGGCATCGGGAAGGCACCTTCCTGCTCCTCACGCGTGTAGGGGCACCTGCCCAACACCTACCGATGGGCTTTGGCGGCGGCCCGACACGGGAGGAAGTGACGCGAAGAATTCACATATGGAAGCTACCACCAAGTCACGAGGCTCCAGGAACCAGCGCTTGGGCCTCTCCCAGGATCACCGGAGAGTCCATGCGGTCCAAACACGTGACTGAGAAGATGCGTATTGCGTTGCTAAGGTCGAGCTAGAATTTTACCTAGGCTATAGAGCCCTGGGCTGCTTAGGGCTATTGACTCGTATTCATCAGCGACGTGGCTCAAGCATATGCCTTTTTTTCTGGAAGCGAACTCTGGTTGCTCTGCATATCCCGGTTATATCCCAGCTTCGGGGCTTCATTCGATCGGGCACCCAGCCCCTAATATTTCCCTGTGATGTGCCACAAACACACTCCCCTTTAGAAGAGAATCCTGGTTGTCTTGCGTATTCTGGTTGTATTCCAGCTCGAGGGCTTCATTCAATCCATCCAGTCCGTAGTAGTCGTCGGTGATGTGCCACAAACGTACTCATCTTCAGAAGAGGACTCTGGCTGCCTTCTTTATGCCGGTTATGTCCCAGTCTTGGGGCCTGGTTCGATCCATCCAGCCCATAAAGTCCTCGAACTTGACCTGCGAGTGTAGCTTGGCGTATTCCCAGTAGTCAGGAAACCAACCGGCAGATTCCCAATCCAGCAACCCGACAATCGTATACGACTCGTCCACCAAGATGTTGGGTGGGGCGAGATCAGTGTGGGTGAAAACGGAAGAGTCGGCCCGTGGGAGGAAATCGGGTAGGTGTTCGCCGTAGGTACCGCCAGCGTAGAAGAGATAACGCTCGTTGATGCGGTTTCTGAAGGCCTGGTCATCTAGAATAGGCATAGGCGCGTCGGAGTTCAAATCCTTGAGCATGACATCCTGGCAGAGAGATCCGTCTGCGCCGCACTGGTAGAGATGTTCGAACTCGGCTGGCCTGGGAATCTTTCGGAGTTGATCGACGAAACCCCAAAGCTGACGGCAGATGTGCGCCTTGGTAGGTGCTTCAAGCCCGTCCCACAACTTGTGCAATGGCGTACCCCGGAGGCGCTCCATCCAGATGTAACCCCACGGATGACCGCGAGCAGTTGTTTTATAGTCCGACTTGAACACGGCGGGGACGGGAATGTTAGTGTGTTCTTTCACGAGGCGAAGAGCCGCCTCTTCGTTGCGAGTTACACGGTCGCCCTTCTTGAGAATATCGCCATCCCACGCTTGCACTTCGCATCCCCAAGTGCTGGTGATGGTGGAACAGTCCCTTGGGAAAGCGTAGGGAACGGACGGCTCACCCTTCATGGGTGCCTCAGGTGCCACAGGTGCCTCATTTTCATTGCGGGATGAGGACGGTGGTGCTTGAAGCGAAGACTGCGAAGGCGCGTCTCCGTCTGATGGACTCATGTTGGCGACCGGAGCTGAAGATCAGCCGCGACGGGAGTCGATGGTGAAGGATATCGTGATGGGTATCGTGAAGGAGGTGGTGAAAGAGATGACGGAGGGGATGGCCGAGATGGATAGGAGATGGATAGGAGGTGGAAGGCTCTGCGAAGGAGAGGAGACTTTGGATGACGGCCTGGTCTTGGGAAGTTAGGAAGCCGAGGCAGGTGGCACGGCCGTGAGAGATTCTAGGTAGGTTCGACTCGGGCAGCACAACGTAAAGTTGGCAAGTGCCTCCGACACTCCAGGTGCAGGGACGTTGGCGACAGAAGAATGAACCGGTGCCGAAGGCTCTCGTAGGTCACGGCACAGTGCGACCCGTCGGTTTGCCCCTTGACACTACTTGCTCCAGGCAGGGCGTTCTGCCATTGTCAGCCTGGACGGTAAAGTACTCAAACGACGGTTCGCACTGTTTCGGTACCAAGGGGGGACATGTAAACGTCTCGTCCACGCTTTCGCTGTGCAATGCAGGTACGGAACACCGGTACCATCTACAAGGTAGTTGCCTGATAAAGGAATGCGGTCGTGCTTCACACGTGAATTGTAGATACACCGTCGTGACTGCCATCTCTCCATACGAGTCACTTTCGTTATTCACACAATATCCGTGTATACGCTACACGTGGGAATCGCATCGTCGCGTCGCGCCTCGGGAGGGAGCTGGAAGCAGTACCTCGGTAGGCAAGCTGGTATAGTTAAGGCAGACTAGAGCTTCATTCTCTCGTGTTGTCACCGGCACTAGGTGGTTCTAGTATTGCACATTTGAAGAAACAGGAAGCAGCATCTCGGTAGGTCTCTGGCATCTGTATTCTCTTGGAGAGTCCGAGGTATGTGATCTGATGTTCACCATAGAACGAGTCTAGCCCGGACGGGGCTATCTACATAGCGGGGCTAAACTCTAAACAGGGGTAAAGTGGATTCGAGCGGGCCTCCGCTAAGGTATCCAGCCAATCAACGCTCAGTAAGATAGGTACCCGGCCGGGGAAGGTGGAAATGCTTACTAATCGCTCAAGCTCTCGCTTCTGGTCTCGTTACTCTCGTATCAACGCCGCTAATGATGACTGGCGTCGCCCAAACGGCTTACAAGTTGAACTACTACCTAGACGACTTGGCAATCACGCGTCATCTTTTAATTCTAGAGCCCGCACAGCATCACCAGGATTCACACCGCCGGGCAGACGATGCATACGATGCAGACGATGGCAGTATGGACGTACAGACCTACAATCTGGAAGGACGGGCCAGACGTTTGCGCCGTGAACCCAGGTTACAGCCGGGCATGGCCAGAAGGGTGACCCAGAAGGGCGACGGAGTTCCTGCAGTGCCGGTACCCACCTAGGATTAAATGATCGACAGGAGCAGACAGCTGCTGTATCCATGCTAGCCACTTGGGTGCGAAGCACTTTATGCTGTACCGAGATGGTGGTGGAAGGTTTCACGTTGAGGATTCAACCACGCCTAGTGGCATGCATGTCAGAGTGCGAAGCCAGGCCCGGCCGGAATATACGCGCGCTGCATTATGTATAGGGACACTACCTTTAGGTACTGAGTAGGATGCGGGTACATCCTTGAGTGCGCCATCTTATTGCTGTATTGGGAGACACCGCCAGCCGGACATGGCAAGATTAAACGAACTTCCGGTTCGGTTCGGAGCCCGTAAGATCGGCGGTGTCGTGAAGTTCCAGAGATGATGATCCGCTCATCAACGCTGCTGGATTGGCATAGGTACCTATCCAGCCGGCCGAGCTATAAGTAGCCAAACAGGCAAACTCTCACCACATCAGATTCCTTCCTTACCCAGCGGCACTCACCTCTACATCCATCTGCCGCCGAGGGATCGACCGTACAACCGGGAAGGATAGCAGCCGTCCAGTCACAAGCCATACAAACCAAGCAACCCATCACTGCCTCTCCTCTTCAAGCCAGACACCAACACGCAAAGACACAAACAAACCCTCAAAAACGAATCAAAACCAAAACCAAAACCACCACGACCGCCACAATGCGCATGTCACTCATAGGCCTCGCGCTAGCCCTCACGGCAACGGCGCAGTTCCCATCATGCGACCCGTCGTGCCAGACCTGCGAGCTCTACTGCGCCCAGAGCTGCGAGGCGCCCCTGAGCCTGTCGATGGACTCGTGCGGCCAGTGCCTGTACTGCCGGCGCGAGTCGTCGTCCTGCGGCTTCGCGGAGGTCGAGTCGTCGGCGTCGCCGGACTTCTGCGCCCTGTGCGAGCAAGCGTGCCAATGCAATATCGCTGCCAGATGCTACTCGAATAGCACCACCTCCGCCACGCCTTCTCCCTCTGGTTCTCCCACTGCTTCCCCATCTCCTTCGGGGGTGCGGGTGCTGTAGATAGATGGTTTGGCACGGGTTGATATGGGTGTGCCGGGTTGTAAGTGGGGAGCGGGGACAGCCGGCAAGCGACGGGACTGTTGATGCATCATCGGGGCTTAATACTACCTACCTTACTTAGCTGTATATATGTTGAAGTTCGGTACATACTTACGATGACATATCTGTTCACCTACATTATGAAGCGATGCACGGAATAACCAGCTACCTATTCTATATCGGGACACAGTGATGGAGGCATATCTGCGGATGTTGTTAATAGGTGAATAGACAACACCGAGCCCGACCCGACGGACTTCTTGTAGCGAGCAAAGGGGTCCCGGTATTCGCTGGTCGGTTGGTGCAATGGTAGCATGTAGACCTCCTATTACTGTACACCCGGTGAGCCCGGTGTGCCGGCAGTAGGTCTAGTCTAGGGTTGCGGGTTCGAGTCCCGTGCTGACCGATTTTTTGCTTTTTTTTCTTTTCGCCTTTCTCTGGTTTGTTGTTCATCTTCAGTTTATTTTGTTTTGTTTGTCTACCTATTGTGGTCTTTGTAATGTTCCGTTCCGTTCTGTTCTGTTCCTGTTCCTGTTCTTTTGTGGCTGTTCCCTGTTTGCAGTCCTCGATGCGCACCGATGGATCAGTGGACAGCGGGATCGAACGACGCCCGGGGGTGGGCCTAACCAAGCCTAACCAGTTCGTGAGCGCAGCACGCAAAAAGGCGCTAACCGTCTTTAGAGGGAGCCTCAGCGCGAAGCTCGGAGCTAAAGCCCCTGTCGCGCTCAAAGCGAACTCCATGAGAATGCCTACAGTAAATCCACGAAGCCATTGACCAGGGACATCCCACTATCAACACCCCATCTCATCCAGATCTCAGGATATCCATCCGCGCTGTCGAATAACAGTACACTATGCGTGTTCATCTCCGGATTGTTAGTACGATTTAGACATCGATCTTTCGAGCTATTACATCTCCACTACATCACCGTCGCATGCCATGGCCGCCAATGGCGACCTGCCCAAGAGGCAGATAACGCCTGTACCGGTCCCAGTGCTCCCAATGTCCCACATCCCACAGAAACGCGCTCCCGAAGACGACCACACTCCGCCCATCCCGTCGCCTCTAAACCCGAACCCGAACCCGAACGCAAACGCAAACGCAAACGGCAACGGTAATGGCAATGGCAACGGCAACGGCAACGGCAATGGAAACGGAAGCGTAAACACAACTTCCGACCCGAAGCTATTCACAAAGCCGCAGCCTCTCGACGACCCGACTGCCACTGCCCGCGAGAAGCCCGCGCGCACGAAGAAGGATTCACTGAAGAAGCGTGAGTCTAAGGCGAGCTTTACTGGTGGCCTTTCTGGTGCCGGCGCCGGTGCCGGTCTTGATAGCTCGAGGGCGACGCCAGATCCTAGGCTGAAGGGTCATGAGCCCATAGTCAGCGACACGTCGCCTTTGCGATACAAACTAGCTCCCCCGAAACCCTCCGACTTCGATCCTGCGAGGGGCCCCGTCTTCACGCATCATCACGATGCCCCCTTCCCCGACGGCTCTACCATCTCCTTCTTTGAAACATCAGAACAGTGAGTCGACGCCCCCGTCCTACACCGTACCATAAACCCCTACACAATACCGCGAGATCTGCCATCTTGGCATTCTGCTGACCCGCGCCTCAGCGTATACAATAAAAAGAACTATCACTACCTACATTGTATCGCCGACCCCGCCTTTCCCTCTTCTTTCTACTACCGCCAGACCGAGCCCGAGCCCTACGGTCCACATATCAGCTTTGAGGATGCCTCAACCCATATGTTCTTGGACCAGTCAGGTCGTCACGTTACCACGGACAAGGGCTTTCGGATGGCTAGGGCGAATGTTGCAGTACGAGAAGGGAAATGGTACTGGGAATGTAAGATTACGAGGGGAATTCTGAAAGGCGAGGGCGGCACGAGGAATGGTTCCAAGGATGCTGCCCAACCGGAGTCGCGGGGCCACGTGCGCATCGGGTTTGCTAGACGAGAGGCTTCATTAGATGCTCCCGTGGGGTTTGATGCATATAGCTACGGGTTTCGAGACGTCGCCGGCCAGAAGGTGCACATGTCCCGACCCAAAGACTTCTTCCCCCACGGCGAGGATATAAGGGAAGGCGATGTGATAGGACTGGAGATCCAGCTACCATCGGAGCACTTGCACAGGAAGATCGTGCAGGGGCATTATAACCCAGCCGTTGATCTCAATGAGGAGGAAGAGCCCATAACGGAGGCCGCCAACATCATCCGCGACCGAATCCCGATCCGATTCAAGGCACACATTTACTTTGAGAAGATCGACTATCATACAACCAAAGAGCTGGAAGACTTGATGAACCCGTCACCCGTGGCGACGTCTAATCAAGCAGGCAGTAGGCAAGGAGACCGGCCGAACCCACACCACCCGGTCCCCGCTCTGCGGACACTGCCGAATTCCTATATTAAAGTCTATAAGAATGGCTTGCTGATGGGCACCCCATTCACCGACCTCCTCGCCTTCCTCCCCCCAGCCTCGAAACCGCAAGCACAAGTCGGCGCGCGGGAAGGCAACGACGACGGCATGCTCGGCTACTACCCCGCCGTAAGCGTATTCCGGGGTGGAGCGGTGGAGACCAACTTCGGACCCGACTTCTGGTTCCCACCCCCGGACTACTCCACCGCCCAGAACGACACGGAGATGGTGGACGTAGACGACGACACCGTGCGCCTAGGCACGCCGCAGCAGAAGAAGCTAGACCGGACCCGGGCCGTATCGGAGCGCTACGACGAGCAGATCGTCGAGGACATCGTCGCGGACATCGTCGACGAGGTCGACTTCTGGATGCAGGACGGCGCGCGCGTCCTCGATCGCACAGGCGGGCGGGATGAGAAGGCCGAGCCGGTCGGCATCGCGCCCGCGAGCGAGGAGATCAAGGAGTTGGTGCAGGATGACTACTAGCCAGGATAGCAATGCTTCAACTTCTGCTGCTTCTTGATTCTCATGATGCTGTGAACAGTGAATGTGTGTTCCTGTATAACTACGAGTGACATGCCCGTCTGTTTGTCCATCCATCTGTATTACCAAGTTATACGTCCCCGAATTGATATCTCCATGCATCACTGAAACTCATAGCCTAAATTCCATCCGCTAAATGAAACCCTCCGATGGAACAACTTCGACGTTCAACAGAAGAACACATTCTAACTCTATTAATTCATCCATCCATAACCAAGCCGAGAAAGGAGAACCCCAAGTGCGTAGCATCAGCCAAGTAAACCAGTCCCGAACCAAAGCAGTCGAAATAAAACACATCTACCCAACCAGTAAGAACCCAGGCCAACAAATCACAAAACCGAGTCGTTATCTTGATATTTGTTTTCCTGTGGAAGCGGGAGGGGATATCATAGTCTAAGCAATAATATCTATCCACGCCTAGGCCCAAGAACCATCCCGTCTGAAATAGACACCGAGAACCCCATTATCCACGGCTCTATATAGATAACCGATGAGACTGTCCCTTTATGTTTCTCTTGACATATAAAACGAATCCCCGGGACTAAATCCCCGGAGTCCACAAAGTCAACGACCACGCTAATCATACCGTGAAAAATAAGACCATGCCATCAGTCATACCAAATCCAGCCCGTCATCCCATCGTGACCACGTCTCGTCTCGTATAGTATCATATCGTAAGAGCATTACTCCCCTCCCCGGCCCATTCCCGGCCCCGGCGGGGGGTATCTTGACAAAAGGAACCCCAATCTCAAAGTTTCGGAACCGCATCATCGCCGGAAGCACCTTTATCAACCTCAGGGCCAGATACTCGCACCACCGGCTCACCATCCGTACCAGCCTCCCCAATCACCTCGCCCTTCCCCCCCTCGCCCTCAGCAGCAACCGCACCCTCGCGCTCCAACCGCTCCTCGCGCCCCCGCTTATAACAATACCAAAGCACAGAAAGCAGCAAGAAAACCGCAATGCTCCAAAGCACGTTAGTACCGACAAAAGCCGGGAAGCGCGTCTTCAGGGCGTTCAAGACGCCGCGGAGCAAGCCGACAAGCGCGCCGGGCTTCGTGACGAGATCGAGCAGGTTCCCGGGCGCGAGGAACTTCTTCGCGGAGCCGTGCTCCACCCCCTGCGCCTCGGCCGCGACGGCCAGCAGCTCCGGCGCCAGCGTCGACGTCAGCTTCTCCGGGAGCTGCGCGACCAGCTTCTTGAGGCTGCGCGGGAGGCGGGCGTAGTTGCGGGCCAGCACGCCGTCGCTGTCGTCCAGGAGGCGCGTCAGGTCGCCGTACGCCGTCGGCACGCCGTTGACCAGGTCCTGGAGGATCTGGGTGAAGGTGTGCGCCAGCGCGGCGGATTCCGCCGACAGGGAGATCGCGCGGTTGTTGCGGGAGGCTAGGTCCAGGTCGTCCAGCACGCGGGTGAGCCTTGCGTTGTCGTCCTCTTCGGTGGCTGGGGTTCCCTGCTTTGGGTCTTTGGGGACGGTCAGGCGGTCTTTGTGGTGGTGCGTTGCTGGCGGTTTCCGGCGTAGGGAGATTGTTCTTGGCAGGGCTTTTACGAAGGCGAAGCGGGATTTGGGCTGGTGGTTGTCTTTTTCGGGGTCTTTTTGCTTTTGGCTTTCTTGTTCTTTCTGGCTTGATACGCTGCTCGCGTCGCTGTCGATGTCGACTACGGGCGTCTTGACGCGTGGTGGTAGGGGTGGCGGTGTGCCGTCTTCGTTGTCGACAAGACTCATGTCAGACGAAGTGAGGTGCTCAAGGAACTGCTCGTCTTCGTGGTCCAGAACAGGTCTGCCCGCGGCCGGTGCGTCATCATCGACGGGATTAGAGACAATTGGTGCAGTGGTGGTCGCCGCTTCTGGGTTGCCCTCCGTTTCCTCGTCCACGGCGATCTGCTTCCCTTTTTCCTTTCGCTTGTCGGCGGCCTGCTGCTCCCGATGCTTCTTCACCTTCTTGTATGTGAAGTACTCTAACATCTTCGCTCAGCGTGCGGTTATGCACTTGTAATTAGGTAGTTTCGGCAGGATTACGGGTCCCTCTGGGGAATCAGGAATCTTGACAGGAGGGGGACGTTGAAATCAGTTGATCTGCCTGCAAGCATATAAGCTTGCGTGTTTGCCTTAAGAATCACCAATTGTTGCCACTCAATTATTACTTCCGGGCCCCTACGTCAGTAGCCGCAGCTACCCTCCCCAACCAACCATTGCACCGCCACATCCGGGCGCCAAGTTGGTGTAAAGGGGGTGGCGCAAGCTTCTGCGGCCATTTGCAAGGAGTCTCATTCGAAAGCATGCTGGAAAGAAATAATTAAGCACGATGAAGAAACGTCATGTAGCATACTTCATTTTAAGGATCAGTCCCTTATTTGTTATAGAAATGTTCGTAGTATCATACAGAAAAGTCAAAGCCAAAGCCGTGAAGCCATCAAGTCTTGAAGAATCTCAGTGT